TGGGGTTGGTGGTGCGGTCGGACGGGTTGGCGGCGGGGTCGGGGGGGTCGGTGGCGGGGTCGGGGGGGTCGGGCGTGGGGTTACAGGACAATCCGAAATCTCCCGACTGACGCAACCACGCCATCCTTTACTGAAGTACAGACCAGCCGCACAGAAGCGCAATTGCTTCTGTCCGTATTTGCATTCGTAATACTTATCACAATCCGCGTGAGATATTAATTTTGGCGGGCAAGTGTCTACAGGTGGACATTGTTCCTCCTGGCGTGGACAATCCGAAATCGCCCGATCGACACAACCACTCCATTTTTTACTGAAGAACAGATTAGCCGCACACGAGCGCAATTGCCTCTGTCCGTATTTGCATTCGTAATACTTAGCACAATCCGTTTCGTGAGATATTAATTTTGGCGGGCAAGTGTCTACTGGCGGACATTGGTCGTTTTCAATCTTAAAGATATCCGGTACTTTACTCGCGGTGATCACGGTCCAACATGCCAAGAAGGCGATGGCGATTAGGTATTTCCCTGTATCGAACAGAAAACAGCCCGATTAAAATTTGATCAACTATTATTGTAATTGATAAAATGTCAATTATTTGTGTATATAAATTTGAATTTACTCAAGCAGAGTAAAAAATCATGATGACGTCAAAATGGTTCCAAAATGATTATTAAACATTACTTTAACGCCACTTCAACGTCACTTTGACATCATTATCACCCCCTGTTCTGCTTGGATACGAAATGATCTCATCATAATATATGTATAATATAAGTATCTCTCGGTGATTTTATTATCCCTGATGGTGAAAAAATTTCTCAGAAATTTTACAAGAATTGATACATATGACAAATTCTGAAAAAATATATGAAATTTCTTAGATACTTTCAGAAATAATTGGATGAAGATTTTTGGAATATTTCAGTATCCGTATGTATGAAAATTTTTTATAAAGTGCACAGATTTTCTTACATTTATTCAGATTTCTGCAAAGATATATATTAGCGAAAAATATTTTATTCTTATTTATTCTGGGTTTTTCTGAAAACGTTCCAATTCGTATTTAAAAAATCTGAAAAATTCTGAGTATTCTGAGAAAATATGAAAATTTTTATAGAAATTCTGATTAATAATATGGAAATTTTTTAGATATTCTTCCACCAGAGATTACAGTTTTTATTATAAAAATGTGTTACTCACCCCTCATCGCCTGTCACCTATTGGTTCTTAAAGAGAAGACAAATTTCGTATTGTATGTATAAAATATATATATATAAATATCCAGTTAACACCTCACTAATTAGTCAGTTGAATACATGACTGACTAAATAATTAAAGCACGTCGGCTTTTATAATCACGTTATCATAAGACACAAGGACAGATTATCATATCTGTTAAAAACAGAGCCGTATTTATTTTTTTTGGAACCCTAGATACAAAATTCTCGCGGATTCTCACAGTATATAAATTCGTACAAATCCAAAAAAAAAAATAAAAAAATTAATAAATGTATAATTCATCACCAAGTTATAATAAATAAAGTAACATATATATATATATATATATATATATATATATATATATATACATGGCGCATATAAGTAATAATATTTTAGTTTATAAATATTTTATTAAGAATATAAATTTATGTATAACTATATATGCATATATTTATACATGTAATATATACAAATTTTTTTCGTTTTATTTCTTTAATTTCGCAAAGTTATTAAATATTATATATCTATAATAAGAACATTAAAAAGAATAAAAGTATTTTATCATACTTATTGATTTTGTTATACATATATTTTGACTAGTTTTAAATTATAAAATTTACTATAATTTTTTGTGCAGAGCTTTTGAATTTCCGGGGCTTTCAGCTATAGAAAATGTCCCTTATAACTGCTAGTCTTGGAAAAATATATTCTTCCCTGAAGTCCGGAAGAGAGAATTTATACGAATTATCAGACAAAAGAATTGTTGCCTGCAGAGTAATTGTTCCCCGTTTGGGCCACCAAATGTGAAATATGTTTGTGTGAGTATAATCAGTTACGAATTGATAAGTTTTACGAACTGTATACGTGATGTAAGGAAATTAGGACTCCCCCGATATCGAGGATTTAATTTCGGGTCGTTAAATTTGATTTTATCGAGAGATTTCATCATATCATAACTTATACTTATTATAGATAAAAAGAGATAATTTGAATGTGGGAATAAAATGGATTAGTTACGATGTCAAGGCAACTTTTGATTAGATAGCGATTGCGAAAAAATATTTTATCATTAATCTTTTCGCGGTATGAAAATACCATAGCATGAGAGGATTCGCAGTTTAATTGGTGCGCCGAGATGTTCGCTAGGGCTAGGAAGACAATAACTGCAGAAACATTAGAATTGTGCGTTGACTGTAGTTATAATTCAACATACATAGTGTTATATTATTCTTACCGAAAGGGTTTTTACAGCTTTTTAAATTAAATGCTTATGGGTAACTTTAAATACCGAATTATTGATTTTTTATTCTTGTTCTGATAAGCGAGGAAAGAGAAGCGTTGCGCAGAGTTTTTCTTTCAAAAAGCGCTGCGTTTTTTGTAACTTAAACTACAAAAATAAAATTATTACCACCATAAACAACTAAAAGCGGAACTTTTTATCGAAATTATGAATATACCTGTGGTGCCAAGTCCGTTGAATTTGATGTTATCTTTCATTATCGAGACCTTGAAATTTTGAGAGTGGCGATATCTCAATTGACCGGTATTATCAAAGTACGTATGTATGTATCATGATATGATCGAAATATCCGCATTGATACAATCCGCGATATCGAAGAAATTAAAAAAACTAATTGCCTCGAATAGTTAAGGAAATAAAATTGTTTCTGTATTTTGAAACTGTCGTTATCGCGCTGCGTGATGTTCGACAAAATCATATTCTATTACATTCGATTCTACATTGCAAGAAATTTTTACCGCAATTGTCATTATATCATTGCAATTATTATTACAATACCATTAGTTATTTAAGTTTTGCTTTTTAAATATATGTTCTAACATTTGAAACAACCCTGACAGAATTTCGAACCGCGTTGATAACTCGTCACAAATTGGCCTTTCATTCTTTTAAGTATTCTGAGAATTACAGCTTTTTGCGTGCAATTGAAAGATTTTTGACAGGCCGAATGACAGTTAGATGACAGGATCTCGAACTTATCACGATAATTCGGCTCTAGCGTACAAAATTTATACAGAAAATATCTGTATTTAGTTTATTTCTTTTCTTTCTTCAAAGCTATGTTTCTCTAGAGCTGAAAATTTTATTCATATGTCTAAAATAATAATGTAACACACACAGGACTGTGTCGTAATCCCATAAACATAAAAAAATGTATTTCGACGCTGTATGATACCGTAGATCCTGCAAGTGGTATCAAAAATTCCTGGACACGATAAACAAGGATAGATAAATATTGATATTTTCGGTCATTATATTATTTATTCTGTATTATACACATACCAACTATTACTATATTTATACTTAAAATAATAAACGATAGTGTCGAAAATCCGTGTGTTGGTAGATCACAATAAATTG